TATAAAAAAAAAAAAATTCTATGTAAAAGAGATGGATAGGAAAAGTTTGGATGATAAATGGCTAAAGCATTTGTGTATGGTTTTAAAAAATATTAGAAATGCAGATCTATCTCTGTGATAATTATATTATTAAAATTGTTTGAAAAACTTTAAGACAAAAAATTATTTTGATGTTTAGAATTCATTTTGCTTCTCCTTACAGTGCAAGTTAGCAGGTATGTGTATTATTTATATAAAAAGTAATTTTAATTAGAAGATCACATCAAGCAAGCTATATTAGAAATTTACCATTGACAGAGAAATAATTTTGCCAAAGTACATTTTTGATGTAGGCAACCAAAGTTTAATCATTTGTTGATTTATTAGACATTCATGTAAAGTTACTTAAGGGCTATCTTTGTAAGCTGTCCCTAATTTTGAGGTAATAAGATGATAGGGAAGGCTGCACTCACATCCAACTCTTTGGCTACTCTTTACCATCTTACTTGAATAATTACTGGGATTTGATAATTATCCTTATAACTCATCAACTACCATAAACCATGGAGCATTTTAATTTTCACATGGTAATGCAATGCGAACAATGGACTCTCAGATCTATATTCATGTACCCTAACCTTTAAGACTCCATACTTACCCCATTTTAAGTGTGACATTTAATATTCAAATTTGGTTTTTCAAGTATTTGGTTTCACCATTCAAATAAACCACTGATAGTTTTAAATAAATAGGCAAGTAAACTTTTTATTAAATTGATTTAGAAATATAAAAACATAACTCATTCTGTATGTGAAGAATGCTAAGGAACTTAGAATACAAAAGAATTAAAATTTTTTGGCTTGAAATGTGAAAATTGATCTGAAGGATTATCTTTCTTGCTTCAGTTGAAAAAAAAATTGGATATTATAAATCCTTATAGAAAATCTTATTAAGAAAGAAGGAAACATGTCTCAAGTGCTAAATAATTTTTTTAGCAGAGTTTTCATCAGTAAAACTGAGGAAGATATTTTAGACTAACCAGTTGTTTGTTTCATTTAATTGTAAGAATATTTTGTTTTTTTTAAATGCTGTAGATATATATATGTATATTGAAGAAGTAAGTGTTTCTGAAAAGTAAGGGAAGTGTGAGAATAAATCTTCTAGTCTGACATTAAGGCATTTTTTGATGACTGAAAATTGCCAATGTATTTCTTATTTTTTGAAAAGAAAGATTTTCAGAGCTATTGACCTATTAATTTGACTTGTATTAACAAATTGTTGGAATTTGTTCGAAGGTGTCATTAAGGAAAGTTTTATGGGAGTAGACATTTAACAAGGAATTCTCAGCACAGTATACAAAATGTGAGTTTTTCTTGTTTTATCTTACTCTGAATTTCAGAAAATCTTTGGTAAGGTCACTCACAATATATATATTTATATATAATGTATTTAGTTAGTTACAGCAGAAAACTAATTGTGTTTTAAATAAAGATTGTTGTTTTGTACATTTTGTTTGCAGACTCATTCTTTGTGAAGAACCCAGTTAGAATTCAGGAAGAAATATACCCATACTCTTCCACTTGTATCTGTTGGATATCCTATTAAGCAGATGCTACCCATTTATCATGGGGGAAGAGGGGGGGGGGGATAAATGAAGTTGAAAATACCACAGTTATTTATGTTTATCCATTTAAATGACTCTGTGAGCAGCAGTATTTTAAATTTAGTAATGATATTAAAATATTAAGAACTGAATCTTTTGAGAATCGCATTTATACATAAGCTACTTTAATGGTCTTAGTAAATGTGTCAGGAAAGAATGGTTTTTAATTTTAAGAGGCATAAAATTATGCATGTGACATTTAAAAATTTTAAAAGGACTTCTTATGTAAGAGAAATATCAATGATGTGGAACAAAGAAAGGCTTTGAATGCCAAAAATTGAATTTTTGGAAATCTCTGGGACTGGATATCCATGCTTTGATTCTATACATCCATTGTTTTAAAAAACAAATTATTCATTTCCAGTTTCTGTTAACTTGTTCAATATTGCAACTCTTTTTTTCATTTGTAACACCAAGCCATTAATCCATGTGATCATTCACCACTGTAACAGGCAGTACCCTAGGACTAGTCATTGGAGTTTTGACTATACTGCCGATTATACCAAATGTATTAAGTTGAGGATTGCAATGGCAAGTGGAGCTCATAAGTCACTAACTCGAGGTAATTTACAGTTAGAATTAAGAAACGGATTCCAAGACTGACATCATACAAAATACATAAACATTTATTAGGTCTTTCCAAATGGTAAACACATTTACTAAACTGTTAGTTTCTCACAACTCTACTTTTCAGTTAACACTATTAGCCAATACATATAGAATATTTCTCTCTATTAAAAGCATTAACTTCCTTCAGTAAACTACGTTAATTGAACAAGAGAGATATAGCAATTCTATACTTACAACAAGGTTGGACTGGTATACTTCTAGAGGTTGGAAATCTTCATATTCATGTTTTCTTGGAACTATTACCAACTCTTTGGAGAACCTCGATTCTTCCTGGAGAACTGATTTTTAGCTCCAGACACGAGTTTTTATACTACATTTTCTCTATATTATTTCGACCTTCCAACTAGTATTTCTAACTACTCGCAAGTAGTTCTAACATTTTATTGGTCAATATGGGCAACTTCCCGGGCTAATCCAAAACAAGAACCAAAACTCACAATTGGTTACTGTGATGGTGAATGCTCTGGTTGCCTTTTTACTTGTACTACTACACTAGTCTGGAGTAACAGATCTCACATCAAAGCACCGATTTGAGATGCTATCATAAACATTTAAGCAGCCTTTACAGTGCTACTAACTCGGCATCAGTAACTTATCACTGTCAAACTCATGACTAGCGTTTTTCTCAGTGTCCTCGCTGTAGCTTCATTTTTTATAACTCTTAACTCGTGACTCGCAATACTAACTAACCAGCTAACTGTGCTTCGCCTAGTTCTAGACCTAATTTCGTAATACAGGCGTCCTTACTTACGCCATTTCTACATGTATGTGTATCAAACCCAGAATACTTAAATCTCTGTAGCATCTTTCTTAACTCTTGAACATTAAAAATACTGATGCAATTGTAAATTACACTCACAAATATCCAATTGCTTTACCACTTTCTTTTCTTAACAAAAGAATGAAACCAAACAAATTAGTTCAACAACACAGAATAGTATAATGTCGTATGTTACTTAGCATTCCTTGATGGCTCTTTGCATGAAAATTGTGTTACAAAACTGTGAATATCCTAATATATTACATGATTTATAATTTGATGATTTATTCATTGCCATAATATACATATTTCAGTAACAACTTAATCCCTGTAAAACATTACCTTCTCTACATGTGCTTGCTTGTATAATATTCTCAAAATTTCTTAGTATTTGATCATACCCAGTGCTCACCCTGTCTGTCTTCATTTGTGGTTATTTTTAAGACTTCTTTTATTTCAAAAAGCTAGACATAAACTGGCAATTGTTTTTATTTTCAAAAACATATATCACAAAATCTGGCTTGCAACTTCAATTGTGATATTTATTTATTCAGTGCTGTTACCATCTGTCTTATAATCAATAAAACCAACCAGTAAGTGGTTATGAATTAAAAATTGCTAAGATGAACATTGATACAGCACTACAATACAAAATTTGTTCATTACTTTGATTTTATGTTTACGTAGACTGTGTGATATGGGTAAATTCTGTTATAAGTGTTATTTTTCTACTAGATTTGGTCACTATTACATGTAGAATGGCACATTAATGCTGTATAAAGATTGGAAGATTCCAAAGTAATTAGTTTTATACAGATTTATCTAACCATAACAAATTTTATTAATGCTAATTTTAATGCATATTTTTTCTTCTTCCCAGAAATACTGACTAAAGTCTTACCATGCCACCAAAAAGAAGAGGAAGAGGTAAGTGTAAATAATGTCTGATATTAATGGAGTGCATAAGTATGTAACTAAGCCAACTTTATCTTGTTCCATGTAAAACGTTTCATGTCATACAGCAACATCATAATTAGATCTGAAAGATTAATCTTATGAATGTCACAAAAATAGTCAAATAATCAAAATTAGTTTTCTGCTTATTATTTTTATTGACTTCAGCTGTTCAAGTCTGAAGATTAATCGATTAGCAAATTCCCCTTATTTTCCAGCTCTTATCATATATCAAGAAAGGTATACAATGATAAACAAGCTTTTCTTAGCCATAAGAAAAATTGAGACCACAACGGTGGTAAATTTAATCACAAATATCTTTTTGACTAACAACCTAAACTTTTATCACTTTGTTCTGCTCTGTATGCAAGTCTTAACTGAACTGGAAGCCATAATAGTTTATACAAATGAAAATAATGGAAAAAGAGCTTTCATTGCATGTTTAGGATGTGACCATCTCAGCATGATAAGAATTTAAGAATCTCACATATATGATTCTACGAAAATTATCGAAATGATATACATAGATGTTAGGAATGTATATGCAAAGATTTCTACATTTTATTTGAAACAAGTTTGTAACAGACAAAAACAAAAGTACTCAATATGATACAGTATGAGGACCCTGTCAGTAGTGAATGGTACCAAGTCAATAATTTGAAAGTTAAAAAGGAAGATTTGTAAATGTTTGTAGAAGTATGTTTCAGTAATCTTGTACTCTTTGTATTTAAAAATAGTGTTTTGATGCATCGAGCTGATGCAAGATTCTAATTGATATGAACTTTTCATTATTGAACCTACCCAGATTTATTTGTGATTGGGTTCTGGGCTAGCTTGTATTGTGTAAGCATAATGGCTATAAAGTCACATATAGCTTATAAATTTAAGGTTGAGATGAATATCACATGGTATTACTGCTCTTACATTTGAATAAACAAATATTTTACCACAGATGACACAACAGTACAGCAAATCTTCAATTATGTTCTCCTTTTAGGCCATAGTGCAGTCCAGTTATGGAATAACATTGCATACTGACAAAGATTGTAATTTTTTTAACAGTGGCAACTGTGTACCATATCCTATCTTTATCATTAACAGTAATGTTTGGTCACAAAATATCTATTGCTGTACAGGTGACTTCATAACCAAATGTGCACAGGATTGAGGTCTGGTATTTGGCTAATCATGCTTGAAATCTCATTTAGTGAGAAGCTTCTCTCCAAACAATCCTGTAAGTAGCTTGTTCACAGGCCTAGCAATGTGCACTGGTGCACCATTGATCATTAATACAATGAATACATGTTTGGAATAACACTGTTGCATAAGTTGATATTTCTCACAACTGACAGTATGTTTGCAGGCCATGGAGACTGTCCTTCAGAAAAAGGGGTCATTAGGTTAATCATGCAAGTACACAGCCATGTTTGATAAGTAGTGAGGCACATCATTATATCAAAGAAAAATTAACATTATCTGTCTAATGAACAAAAGAATATTGCAATTACAGTGTTGTAAAGCAAACATCACTTAATACAACAAATTTATATATAAAACCAAATAATCATCACAAACTTAAATATTACTAATTACAATAATCAAGCTGTTAAAATTAAACTAATCTTATCATATAACCATGGATGTCAACTGACAAAAGAAAAAAACTGAAATATTTTGAGTCCAATGCTAGTTACCTTTTATGCCTAGCATCCTAGGGGGTCTACAGTATCCTCTGCCAGAAATGTTTTCTACCTGAATGATATGTTTTTTAACTTAAACTGTACGATATATTAATTTGTATCAGACTGTGAATATGAAGCACATAACTGTTTATCAAATATTTGCAGACAAACTTTATCCTAGTAGTGACTTTAATTTCTTGTTTAATATTCAAAATGGATTCAGAGCAAAAAAAATAAAATCCAAATATGATGATATTTGAAGCTTTGATGTTAGTTAAAGGTAACGAACTTTTAAAATATAAAATTGCACTTCACACAATTGAATTCACCATATGAAAGATATATTCAATATGAAATAGAAAATCAATTATTACATGTCTTCATACCAGGGTGAATATTTATGGGCTAGCAGTAATATTTGCAAGTATTCAATAAAGTAGATAAGCTCTTGAGCAACATGACGTTCCATGAAGAGTTGCAACTCATAACCTATAATATAAATGTTGAGTAATTTAAATATTATGTTTTTCTATTAGTTAATGCACTGTATTATAAGATATATATATACTGTATTCAACATTAATATTATATTTTTAATCTTCTGAATTGAAGATATTATTTTAAAAAAATATAGTTACAAAGAAAATGTCTCCTTTCTTAAAATGCATTTTGTGAAATATCCAACAACCATTCACAAAAAAATGCAATCAAAGCCCCTTAATCAGTGTCTTAATGTTTCTGAAAAGCTGTGAGAGCTACAAATCTCTGCTGAATATTTTCTTGTGATTTCTGTCATCAGCATATACCTGAAAACATGGAAGTTTTATCACTGTCATTCTGTTTATTAATATCATTTTAACCATATGAATGTAGAAGAGGACCTTTTCCATGTGTCACATGTACACTTTTCATGAAAATGTAGTTTATAATTCACTTATTATACTACCAAAAAAAATTCTCAACCTTAATTTTCTGTGTCATATGATGCATTTGAGTTCTCCACTCGAGAATTTTCTAACTTTAAAAATAGACTGCTGTAGTTTCCAACCAATAAAAAACACAAACTACACATAATTACAAGCAATAATTTAATATTTGCATTTTCTAACTCCTTGATTTCTTGAGATATCAATACATGTATCAGTCTCACCGAGGAACCCCCTATCCTATCAACATCTTTATGAGTCTAGCTTATTTTGTGCTAACTATAGCATTCCCTTACAAACAAAGATATTTCAGAATTTGTTTCTAGTCTCTGTCATCAAATCATGGTACTTCTCATTTTAGTCACATTTACTAGAGATAAATATGGTGGTATGGCTTGTGATCAGTAAATTCAATGGATGTGGAAGTGATTGAATTAGACATTCAAGGACTTTCCCAGTACCTTATGTTAAAAACCATAGATTTTCCAGGATTTTCGTGATCTGTGCCAACCCTGACTGAGTAATTGACATTTTCACTGAAGATAATCCCAAAATGGCCAGTGACTTCACTGACCACAATCTCCTGATGGAAACTTTGCATGGTAACACAGAGGTTTTGCAAATGTATCTTACTTAAAGACAGTCTTTGGTTTCTTTGGATCTGTGTAAAATGCCAACCTTCCTATAAATCAAACTTTGTACATTTTATATAGATAGAAAATGATTGATCTCTGATGTAATCTGTATGAACATTATCATATTCCTTGAATCAAAAAATAATTATAATGACATACAGCTTACACTTATAACCTCTTAGATTGTATAACAATTTTGTCTAGAGGATAGGAGCATCAGTAGGATAATGATACATTTTTTATAGTTTGAATGGGAAATTATTGTTTAGTGTATCATATCCATAAACTAAAAGATGTGTTATTAATTTCTTAACGTATTTAATAATTTTCTCTGATTTATACGGATTGCCCATTGTACTGTTTCCTTGAATGATAACTCATTTGTTCTATTAGGTCGGGGCTTCAGAGGTGCTGAAACACATGCAGAGAGGAAACGTAAGTTACTTTTATTAATAGAAAATAAGTTATTTATATAAATATAATAAATGTTTACAAAACAGTAATGTTGCAGATGTGTATAGTTAATGTGGAGAGTTAATGTATAAACATTTAAGATTTGAAGAAAATCACTTCTGATATATCTTACCTCCAATCACATAATAGCTTTTCTCATTCAGTGCTACCCTCTATATTTACAGTTTATTTTCACTCTCCACTAGCCTTGAAACTCCCACCTACCCCATGTTTCTACATGGTTAAGCTGTGTTGTAGCATGCAAAAATGCATGTGACAATCCTCCACCAATAGGAACATGACACATACTCCTGTCTCAGTTGGCTCCTTCTGCACTGTAGAATTCAATCTTCACTTCTTGATTTGGCACAGTAGTGTTAGGATGTGTTAATTTTTGCTCATGCGTTTACTTCAATTTACATTTTTTGCACTGTCTATTAATCAACAGTTTCTTAAACAACTTTATTTATACAGTGATAATCTCACTGTAGTTTATTAATTTTGAATGTTATTTCTTAATTTTATTTCGCTACCACTACTTCAGTTGTGATGAATATTACAACATTGTAACCTGCTGTATATTAGGCTACAGGCCTTGCACTTTGGCTGTGGAGTTCATGGTTTTTCTATGGGAGTTGTGGGTATGTCATGCAGCTGGTTGTTTCTTCCTAGCCCAAACCTGATTTGTCTGGAGAATCTGAGCAAGATTAAAACAATTTGGGTAGGTTTTTTTCCACATAAGGATCCTTGGGCCTACAATTCCAAATTTCTTCTTGTGGATGCCCCCAGGGCATCATTAGCCTTCTTAGATGTGAAGACACAGGTATGTTACCTTTTATTGGTATCCCTTCTCATTTAGGCCCCTTCCTCATTATATATAGTTTTCTTTTCACCAGCAGATGTTGGGGTCCATGCTGACCCAATTTCTGGTGTAATTGTATTCAGGGGGGTGAATCATCATGCCTCGACCCCCTTGGGCTCAGAATAATTTTCTTCATATCTTCAGGACATGTTTTCCTGTACTAGACTCCTGCAGTTAGTGTCATGTAAGCTAGAATCAGGTTTGGCTCTAATACTGTTTGAATCCAAGTAATTGTATGTCTTATGCATGTTTTCAGATGTTGTATTGCCCACACAGTTACCTTCCATGGTTCCCATTTATTTATCCTTTGGAATCCCTACTCTCTAAATGATGTTTTTTTCACTAACCCCACATGTTGGATTTGCCAAATTATCAGGCCTTTGTCATCACATCTCATTAAACATGTTACCTTTCCCTGGGTACCCATATATATATAGTTATTTGGGGGAAATCATCCAGGCTGGCAGGTGGAACACACCTAATACATTCATCTCTCATTAAACCTGTTGGGTGGCTGTTTCATCCACTTCTGGATATCGCATTATGCCTGTAGCCATTCTACACAACATCAGTTCAACTGTGAGCTGGTGCATTTATTAATTTCTTTCTTTTTTCTTACAGGGTCACACTCCTCTTTGATATTGGATCCCACTCTGTGATGAATGATGCCTGTCCAGGTATACTTATTCTTAAATCCACACTGTACAGCCAATATGGTGTTCTGCAAGACCATTAGTAGGTTCTTTCTCATGGTGTTTTGCATAATAAATATGCATACCGAACCATACAATCAAAGACTAGCTTGAGTAAAACAGAAAGGAATCGTGGTTTGTCCCTGCCACCCCGTCGATTACATAAATCAGGAATGGTCTGCTTTGCACTTTCTTCAGTGCTGAGTTCCTCCAGACTCTCCAATGTGCTATTTCTCCTACTCCATCCAGTGGAGTACGAGAGTCCTTACTGCTTACCAGCTCTTAACCGTTGGGATGGTGGACCATGGAAGCTTCCTCTTAAGTGTGCTTAATCCCACTCAGATGAGAGTACGGTGGTGATATTCTGCCAGTGTAGATGGTGCGACCTTCCTCCTACCATGGCTTTGATGTATTATTACAGATGGCATATGATTTTGGACTGGATTTTTCTGTCAAATGCAGTTAACCCCTCTAGCTGGGAACCTTCCTTTCTACCACTGCCTGGATATTGGTTCCTGGGCGACTAGTGTTAGCTGGAGCCAGACCAGTCTACATAAGTCCTCAGAGGTGAGTTGGCTGGGACAAACAATATATTCACAATGCCACATGGTTTTGAACTGGAGTTGACCTTACACATTGCATTTCCATCTTCCTACTGTTGTCTTGATGTTGGTTCCCAGAGGGGTACAGGTGTTGGTCATGTTGAATATGCACACATGGTGATTTGGGTTCTCAGAAAGGAAGTCCTTCTTCCCTTCTGATTCTTGAGTCTGAGGTGAATTGTATAGGACCCTCCTCCTACCATGGGCCTGTTGATCCCATTTCCATGCTGCTGGTTTTGAACTGGAGTTGACCTCTCAATTACAGTTGGAATAAAGATGGTTGAGGACCCTTCTCCTACTTCGGACAGAATGATCCATTCTCAGTTCCATTGGTTTTGTGCCTCTTTTCTGCCCATTTAGTGACACATTCCTTCATTAAAGGCAATAAGTGTAACTGGTTCATATGTGATGAGGTCTCCCAAGAGAATTCACACTCAATGGGCATTCTTCAGGTGTTTTCTGAAAGGTGCTCATCTAGGTAAAATTTGGACCAATCCCTCTACCAAGTCAGTGTAGAATTCTAGCTATTACATGAGTGGAGGTAAGATATTGTATAGGAGGTTAATATTTCCAATAGGTACTCATCTCCTCTTACACTTCCCACCCTTCTTCCCCACATCCGGTGCTTCTTTTTTTGCCTAATTTCAAAGTGAAAATTGGGTTCTACATTATAGAGGTAGCCAGCTGTGTAGGCTTGCCTGGTTGACTCCTAAACTTTGGCTTAACTCTCTCACTATGGGCTTGGCCAAATCAGCCAAGTTTGTGACCTCAAATTGACCTTTATAGTTTCCATACTATAACTTCTAATATATTCTATGTATCTTCATGAAATTTTGCAAACTTTTAGTAAGCTTTAAGTCTTTTGTAGACAAAAAAATGTTTAAATATGTATTTTCACAAAAAGTTTTTCCAAGAATATATGGAGTCCAACTGTTGACTGCTCCGAGTATGAAGTAATTTTCATGTTAAAATTAAAAATACTTTTTTTCAAGGTTAATGCAAAGCTTGTCTTCTTTCTTGATAATTGATGTGGTAACTTTTTATATTCAGTTATCTGTTGTGTGTACATATTTTTTGTTTAGTATTGGTAACTAAGCTATTATTACTTGTGTTTTACAGCAAGACAAACAGAACAGGTTGAGACAGCAGCACTTTCAGCTTCAGGGATTGAACCAGCACAGACAGTTGAAGCAGCAGCACTTTCAGCTTCAGGGATTGAACCAGCACAGACAGTTGAAGCAGTTACTTCTCTAATAAGTAGTACTCCAACAGAAACAACAGTTCTAGCAGAGAAACATCCCTTAGAGGAAACAGCTGTCGTCAAACAAGAAATGCTTGCTTCTGAATTTCAAAAGATGTCCATTCAAAGGCCAGTAACTTCCTTTGCTCATGAGTTTCCTCGCCGACCTGGCTATGGAATTAATGGCAGAAAGATTGCTTTAGTCGCAAACCATTTTTCTATTATTCTTCCAGATGGATATGTGTACCTGTATGACATTGAAGTGAGCAAAGAATATGTACCCTCTAAACGTAATGGAAAGAAAGAACCACCTACGCCATCTTCAGAACCTAAAAAATACAGATGTCTAAACACAAAATTAAACAGGAGAATTTTTGAGTCAATGATAAATACGTATCGAAACAGTGATCTAGGTAACTGTTTACCAGCATATGATGGAAGAAAGTACATGGTGACAAAAAAACGTTTGAATATACCAGAAAATGGTCGAACATTAGTTGTTCTCTTGGAAGAAGAGAGAAGACAAACAAGGTTTGAAGTAGCAATGAAGCTGGCAAAAGTTGTAAATCTGAATCCTATTCATGCTATTTATAAAGGAAAAGTATCATCCATAGACCAAGAAATTATCTTAGTTTTGGACATAATTCTTCGACATGGTCCTGCTTTAAGGCTTGTGCCAATTGGCAGGTCATTTTTTGCAAAACCAGATGTACGGAATATTCACCCTCTGAGTGGAGGACTAGAAATTTGGTATGGTTACCATCAGAGTTTGCGTATTGGGCAGTGGAAACCCATTCTTAATATTGACATGACAGGAACAACTTTCTTCAAAGCTCAAAACTTATTAGATTTCATATGTGAAAAGTTGAAGATTGTTGATATTAAAAGTGTAAAAGAACTTAAGGATTTGGATATCAAAAGGTTGAATAAAGATCTGAATTTGCTTGAAATTCAAGTGACTCATCTTTCATATCCTAGAAAGTACAGGATAAAAAGTTTGACCAGACAAGCTGCCAAAAGGCTTTTTTTTAAATTAGATGACAAAAGTGAGATAACAGTAGCAGAGTACTTCAAACAGAACTATGAACCATTGCAGTATTCTAATCTCCCATGTGTGGATGTTGGGATTGGGACTAAAAATGTGTATTTGCCCTTCGAAGTGTGTAAAATTGTAGAGGGTCAACACAACAAGAGAAAACTAAATGAGAGACAAACTTCGGATATGGTTAAAACCATGACCAGAGGACCAGAAGAAAGATTCAGAGCAATTCAGGCACGAGTAAAACAAACAAGTATGCTTAATGAAGAATACAACAAAGAATTTGGAATCAGAGTTGATATGAATCCTTTAAAACTTCATGGAAGGGTCTTAGATGCTCCAACTGTTCAATACAAAGATGAAAAGAAAGTTCCACCAAGGAATGGAACTTGGGATTTGAGGAACATGCAGTTCTTTCAAGGGGCTCAGATTAATGAATGGGCATTATTGAGTTTTTCTAACCCTAATTTCTGTAAACAAACTTATCTTGACACGTTTATTCAAATGTTGAGTAGTCAAGGACAGAACCTTGGAATGGGATTATCTAATGCGCCATCTGTAATTAAGAATGTCCAACTTGGAGATGGTACCATAAGTGGAATATTTAAAAACCTAAAGAGCATATATCCCAATGTGCAATTAGCTGTAGTTGTTCTTTCTAGTACAGATTCTTGTTATCCAGAAATAAAAAATGTTGGAGATACTCAAGTTGGGTTAATTACTCAGTGTGTGTTAGATACTACCGTTATGAAGAAATGTAATCCACAATCAATCACTAACCTTTTACAGAAAATAAATGCAAAGATGGGGGGAATAAATAGTTCTATTGTTAAAATTGATAAACCAAAAATTTTCTCTAAGCCAGTTATTTTTATTGGGGCAGATGTTACTCATCCAGCCCCAGGGGACAAACCAGAAACTTCAGTGGCTGCAGCAGTTGGAAGTCTTGATTCACATCCATCAAAATATGCTGGTTCAGTAAGAGTTCAGTTTGCAAAAGATGAAAGGAAGAGAGTAGTTGAAATTATACAGAATATCAAAGATATGTGTAAAGAACTACTGAAAGCTTTCTATAGAAACACCAAGGGAAAAAAGCCTGAGAAAATTATTTTCTATAGAGATGGAGTAAGTGAAGGACAATTTTCTCAAGTCCGAGATATAGAGCTACGTCAAATTAGAGAAGCATGCACAGAATTAGGAGCTGATTATCAGCCTTTAATTACCTTTATAACTGTCCAAAAAAGACACCATACAAGATTTGCACCACAGAACTTTCAAAAAGATGGGGTTGGTAAATGTAAAAATATTCCTCCAGGTACTACAGTAGACACTGATGTGACACACCCATTAGAGTTTGATTTTTTTCTGTGTAGTCATCTAGGAATTCAAGGAACTAGCCGTCCTGCCCACTACAAGGTGTTGTGGGATGATAATAACTTTTCAGCTGATGAACTACAGAAACTAACATACTATTTATGTCATACCTATGTACGGTGCACACGAAGCATCTCCATCCCAGCACCTGTAATGTATGCCCATCTAGCTGCTTACCGTGCTCGTCTGTATATTACCAGCAGGGAATCACATGATGATATTTCAAGCTGTTCTCCAGAACCTAATGATGTATTGCAGATGAACTCTTCTTTAATTGAAGACCTGAAACTTATAAAGGATAAAATGTATTTTGTATAAGGTATGTAACCTGTGCTGTGTTGCAAGTGGATATAAAATATTTTTCTGGAGCTTAGATATAATTTTGTTATCAGTCATATGCTTTTAAGATATGATTTGAATATGGTTCTGAATTATTTTATTAAAGTATCATCCACATTTTCACTGTGCATATAGCATATACTTACGGAGTTGAGACATTTTTTCTTACTGGCTAGATACTTAAGATGGGAGCTGAGTGTGGCTGAAAATTATTTCCTTACAATATGATCCAGAAATGTAATAAATTAGCTGCCATAGTTTTTTTGTTGTCCCACCATCCCATAAATGTGCCCAAATATACATTTTTGTTTTATTTTTACAGGTACATTTAGTTTGTACAAAATTTAGGAATTGCCATTAACCTGTTCCAGTTCAAATTACCAGATACACTGTTCTGTCAATTTTAAATATTTTAGTCCTTTATTTTTAAATAAAATCTAAAGTATCATTAGGATTGTATGATGATAATTTATGTTGCATCCATTAATTCAAGTCCTCTTTTTTTCTTTATAGAACTTGAAGTATTGAAATTACAAAACATAAGTATTTCAGCGATAGTTTCAAAATTATTTTAAATTGCAATAAATCACAATCAAAGAAATGTGATGAAAACCCCAGTGCTTTCAGATGAACATGCCTTACTGTATTACAGTAAAATGTCAACTAATATATTTTCATCAAATGCTGTTATTAAAAGAAAAATCTTAGACAAAGCAAATTGAAGCTAGAAGTTATTTGAAAGCACTGCTTTGTATTTTATTCTGGACTTTTATATGGCATGGCAAGTTCACCAAAGATCAGCAAAATCAATTTCAGATTTCACCACCTACTGTAATACTACCTAAAAATTCTCTCAAAAGTTTTACTTCATTGCATGTTAAAAGCTTGATTATTAAGATCTGGGCTTTCAAATATGGCCTTTTATAGTGGTACATTCAAAATTTATTTAAGTAATTTTATTAGCATTGTATATGAATAAAATGTTTATAATTGAAGTAGATATATTACCAAAGTTTTAACTGCTTAATTTAAAAAAGAAATGTTTTAAAAATGCTCATTCTTAATTTTTCTGTCACATGATGTGTCTGAGGTACAACTTTTTAAGTGCAGAAAGGTATAATTTCATCAATAGGTTTTTACTGTTCAAACCAAAAATTTCAAAAAGCAATATTAAAAAAAATCTCGGTCTTCATTTTTCTGTATCATGTGACATGTCTGGGCTCTGAATTCTCAGTTTCAAAAATTTACAACATCAGTAATATGTCATTTGCAGTTTCTAGTGAATTAAAAACATAAACTATATGTACTTATAAGCAAAAATAAAATGTAAATATCTTATTTTTGAGTTTGTTTGCTAATCAACCTTACATGGCTGATGGACATGCTTATAACCATTAAAAAGAGCTGGTTCTCTTCTACATAAATCTTACAATGCTTTATTTGGTTTTGTGGCAAAACACATTAATTGATAGGAATTATTTGGTTAGTATTAATCAGGTTTGATGTTCCTGGCAATAACAGAATTTATTTTTACCATAGTGTACTTGGAATGCCAGATAAATTGTGAAAGTTTTGGGTTAATCTATTTTAATTTTTGTGTTTTAAGTTGCATATTTGAAAGCTGTGTGTATTTTTTTTTTGTGACTTGAGTGCAAAACCACCTCGAGTGTCAATGAGTATTATTTTTATCTGTATATGTCTTGTTTTTTATCTATATTTCTCATATTTTGTTGTATATTTTTAACAAAAGTAACAAAACTGTAAAAATTATAAATTTCTCAGCTTAACAAAATTTTATAAAATACAACAATACTCAGTTAATAGATCATGTGCTTCTTATATAAGCTCTACTGGAAACAGCTAATGGCTCCTGCTATGATTTATTGCTTTTGAAGAAGGAAAAATACTCCTGTGGTCAAAAATACAAGCAATAAACCATAAATTTATAAGGAAGCTAATGTTAAAAGGTTATTGGTTGAGAAAAATTCATCAACCAGTGCAGGTAATCATTCATTTTATTTCATATTTTTCAACTTTTATTTTCACTGTATTTTAATTAACTACAATTAGTGTTTATGATAGAGAAAGTAATAATTAGAATATTAAGTTTTGCTTAAAAAATTCAGATATTCAATTAAGAATTTCTAAAAGTTAAGCAAATCAAGTATGAATACTATAAGGTGAAAAAGTATTTTTATTCGTAGCATGAAAATTATGTTTCACTCTAACTCATAAAAAGCTTTGTAAGTTCACAGACAAATCTTTAGTAAGTTTTTTTTTATTAGAAACTGGTTTTGTGATGTACAACAGAGTTTTTAATGTTTACTGAAACCTTGCTGAATTTTATGGTACTTAGTACATTTAGTTATGTATAGTTTCATGGTTACAAGGTTAGCCAAATGTATCAAGCCTGTATACAGAGAGCTAAGGTGTTTGATAAATATAACTCATAACCAAAATAAAGTTTTGCTCTTTGTGAATCAGAGGGGTGTCACTGATGACCCTAACATACATACATATGTATAAATGTGTTTGTTTTATAGGCCTAAAACAAATTCATAGGCATCAGGTCAGACTAGGTAACAATATATTTTCTAAAAATATTCTTGATCCAGATCAATTAAGTGTATGTTAATGTAGATTCTTTTCAATAGATAATAAGTTCTTTCATTATGTGATTGTCTGAACAGGATAAACTCAATAATAATATTCAATAAAAAGTAATTTGAGTCATTGGAATATTTTGCCATCACACACTGTAATCACTAAACCTAAATAAGCTTATCTGACATCTTATCATACAAGAAAATTTCTATACCTTTCAAGTAAATATAATTAAACAGGAAACTATTTCATGAACAATAAAAACATCTAAGGAAATTACAAAAAAAAATTTAATACCTTTGGCTTGTTTGTATATTTTCTAAACTTCTCACTAGATTCTATTGTTCTCAAAGGATAATGTATTCTTAGCAAATATAAAGCTATACTTTGGGATGGGCAGAAAAATTCTACAAAAAATCATCAAGTGCATTGTATACAAGCATGATATCTCAGAGATGTGCAGAAATTAAGGTTTAAATATATTTTAAATTTTTCTTTGCAAATTACACTAAGTAAATATTACAAAAATATCTATTTTAAAATATTTGCTAGTTAGTTATTATTTTTACCCAAGTTTTATATTCAAATGTTTGTAGCATTTATAAAGTTATTCCCTGTAGCATAACTATTTGGTCTCTGTGTAACATAGTTGTGTAAAAATCAATTCACAGTACATTTTATGAAATCATCTTAAATCTGTGTATTTCTGGAATGTAGCACATTATTAGCAAAATAGTTTTTGATCATTATTTATTCTGTAATTTTGTTTGTTTGGTCAATCTACAAACATTTTACAGAGAGTTTAAAAAAGTCAGACTACATATACAAAAATTGAATTTTTAGGTAGTACCTTTAAATATATCTGTTAAATACTTTTCCTTCCCAAAACATATTCCATTACAGTGCAGAACTTATCTTGCCATGTATATTTCATATCCAAATGAAAATGTGCCTTTAACTCTTTTAAAAGCTGAGTTTCACTAGTAATTGTTCTCACCACAATGTGGGATCATAAAATGATGGGGATGAAGCCTGTAGTTCCTAACCAGTTTCTCAAAGGGAAATCTGAATCTTAGAATACCACAAAGTAGGTATGAAAGAAAACGTTTTTTGTTGTTACCTCAGAGCTTGTTATTGTAGAGTTGTCTGTTTTTTTTTCTTGACAGTTATATTTACCTGTGCTCCTTTGAACCTTTCATTATTGAGCTGAAGCTTAACACTTGATGACCAGAAAGAAGAATTTGGTGCTGTGGAGAAAAGGCTATCAGAGAGTTAGGAGAAGCCCTCTTCTAGATGATGGACGTTTGTTGATGTTAAAAAGATTTGTAATGTTTTTCTTGCTTTGGTCACGGATTCACAAAGGAGAATTGCTAGAATCAGGTGCACTCAGAACAGCTGATCATGTTCTCCCCCTGAAATTAAACCTCAATGAACAGAAGGCACAGACAACTAAAGATCATCATGTGTGGTCTAGCACGTCTGAGACTAAATGCAGCAGTGTCTGTAGGACATTTGCTATCTGTAGTACTTCAACCTCCATTCTGATTGATCCCACCTATTACTAGACAAGAGAGACTAAAGATGGACTAGGTTCATCAGTCTGAGTATTACACTAACTGGTGAAGTATGCTACCAGGGTTATAGAAAAGTCTGGGGTAATTCAGAACTGAAAGATAAGCTACCTCTACTAACTCACTATTCTGAATGTAAGGGTCTTTGTACTGGCTGCTCCACTATACCCCCAATGTTAAGGACATCTCATCTTGGTGTTCATCAAGAGTTCATGGTTTGAAGAAATATGCCAAAACCACCAGTAGCTGAGATGGAGGCTAAACAAATCACACTCTGACAAAAGAGGATCTAGACCATTTCTTGAAAGCATTTAAGGCAGGAGGCTGCCTTAAATGGTTGGACTAAGGAACAGGTGATATGGTTTCTGCCCCTGTGTTTGGATGGTCCAATCCTCTGTACTACTGTATAGTAGTAGTTAAGTTGCACCAATGTCTTAACTAGCTACAGAACAGGGCTGTCAATTGGGCTGAGTTCAATGTTTGAAAGAGGGATCTATCAGAGAACTTGGTCGTTCCTGTGGATGATCTGCAGTGACTTGGGAAGGCATACCCTATAATGGATTTGGCAGATTATGAGTTTATTCTTGTAGATAAGTACTCATCCACAGGCTGTCTAGTGAAACAATGAGGTATCTCTTGAGTTTATTCTTGTAGATAACTACTCATCCACAGACTGCCTAGTAAGACAACAATGTATCTCTTAAGTTTATTCTTGTAGATAACTACTCATCCACAGGCTGCCTAGTAAGACAACAATGTATCTCTTAAGTTTATTCTTGTAGATAACTACTCATACACAGGCTGCCTAGTGAGACAACGAGGTATCTCTTGAGTTTATTCTTGTAGATAACTACTCATTCACAGGCTGCCTAGTGAGACAATGAGGCATCTCTGGAGTTGAGAAATAGTACCACTCTAAAGGAGGCAGTCTCTTTGTTGAAAAGGTTTGAAGTCAAATCAAAGGAGTTGCAAGAGATGAAAAATCTCATAATGTTGACTGCAGTGGCTGTGCCTTGACATGCCAAGCTTGAGTTTTGCTGAAGGCAGACTAGCAGCTAACACATTCTGGCACTGTGAAATAACCCCAGTGATTTCAAGTGCATGTGTAGTGCTGATGTTTATGATGCCTACACCCAGATGTCTATCCAAAAAGGAGTACCAGAGCACATGTTTTGCATGAGAACAGCAGGGTAATTTCAAAGTGAAATGCCCATACATTACCGTAAGTAATATATGCAATACTACCAGTTTAAATCAACTGTACAACAGATACAAGAGAATTAGCAGCAAGCTGTAGCTGCTACTGTTTCAGCTTTCACAAGGAAACCTAAGTCATGTCTGGCTATCAACTTGGAAAGTGCAGCTGGCCACTTGTGGCAAAAGGTTTGTGGCCAGTCTCACTCTCTCAAGACTAGGTGAAGCCTGATATTTTCCCATAAAGGTACATGAACAAGAGATAGAGATCTTGGTTGAAACAAGAGCTATGAAGACACTGGTTGATCTTGCTGTTTATTAGACATGCCAAATAAAAGCACCACACTTACCAGTTAATGCTTGATACTGGTGAATAATCATAGACCAGATGTTTTTGGTTTGGCACTTGTCCAACTGTGTCTTGTTAATGTCAACCACACAATGAATGTAGTAATCACCAACTTTGGTTCTGACATTTGTATCTTCAGGATAAATGTACTGTGTAAGTTGTTAATCAGTTTTATACATATAGCAAGGTGAACTGCATTTCCACCTCCAAAACAAAAAAAGAAGAGTACTGTCTGAAATACACATAGCCATATAGTCAATTATTATTAATGCATGAAATGGTTAACTCTAGAATTATTGGTCTTTTTTTCAAAACTGTTTATATACAAATTGCTTGTGGTTGTATGGATTTGTTGGTTACAGGACCCCTAATTACATGTGAGTTATGAAAACAAAACGTTCGAAATACTGTAAGTACCACATTTAATCACACTATGCTAGGGTTTTGTGTGCATTTTGCAAGGTATCAGGTAGTTTATTTGGTAATTTTTTTATAGGTAAAAACAAATTCTTAGTATGGTGCAATTATATGTTCAATAATTTATCCAGTAATATAGTTTTTCGGTAGTCAATACAGAAAAATCAATACCATGTCAAAAGTTTTTGTAAAGCATATAACATTATCTTAAAAAAAACAATAAAAACATAAGATTGCATGTGAACCTTCTTCCTGAAAAGCAGAAGATACAAAAAAACGAAGTAGAAATAATTCAGCAACAATTATAAATTAAACCTGCTAAAAAATAATAAATAAATAAAAGGACTCAGAAAATAATGTTTTTAGACCAATCTTGCTTAATGCTGTAACTACCATTCAATTATCCACATCCAAAAAGGCCATGTAAGCAGTCCAACTAAAAAATAAGCATGAATGCTATATATAGTTGAATATTAAAAAAAGAATATTCCCAAAATGTGGTATTACTTAAGATAGCTATAAAATAGCAAGTTTTTTATACATTTTATAACATTCTTGACAAATGTTCCAAGAGTGAACTTGTCTGTTTTCACGCTTGTTTGGAGTTAAAGTAGTTTGCTACAGTTTTATGTCATTACTGTGCTATCAATTATATGGTATGATTGTCCCACCCCCTTTCATTTCACCTGAATGGTTTTGTTAGGTTTGATGTAAAACCATTTCATGTGGGTCTGGCATGGACAGGTGGTTAGGGCACTTTACTCAAATCTCTGGTCAGTCCTACTAATCATTGGTAAAAGACTAGCTCAAGAGTTGGCAGTGGGAGGTGTTGACTAACTGCCTTCCCTCTAGTCTATCACTACTAAATTAGGGATGGCTAGAGCAGATAGTCCTCATGTAGCTTTGCGGAAAATTCAGAACAAACCAAACCATTTCATGTGTGTGTATACATAAATACATTTGTATTCATAAAGACTAATAGCAGATTAATTGTATTGCATATAACCAGCTCTTGTGTACCTGGTTTTTTAACTTTGAAAGAACAGATAAGAAAACAAGTGGTGTCATATTTGCCCTGTAAAGCCAAGGATATTATCAAGTTTAGTTATTATTCAGTTCTCAGAATTATTCATAAAATAGGTATGTTTTTGAATTCCAAAATTAAATTTTTAATACATTCCTTATTTAATCTTGATAATGCAGAATGAAACATTCTTGGTCCTTGTCTGTGATGAATTTTTCTTGTCAAAATTTTTAGTAACAAAATGCACTACAAGCAATTAAACTTTAATATGTTATTTAAAACTATAGCTTTGGATGTTTAACCATGAGAAATTTTATGGAATGTTTAAAATAGAAACCAATGTATAACCATCAATTAATAGAATGTTCTAAATTTTATCTAAAAAGTGTATGCTGTAATGAATATGTATGCTGTCTGCAAACAAGTGTTTTAATTGTGTATTATTCAGGAAGTTAAAGGTACAAGTGACTTTTTTGTCAATTTAATAAGATTGATTTCTCTGTTTAATGTTTTACTGTTCTTTGCATTTAGGCTCAGAGTTCATTCAGAAAGCAGAAGCTTACAGCTGAGACTGTGGGTGCAAAATCAAACTTCATTGGCTCCTTTGGAAATACCCCTAAATGCTATGCTTAATGAGAATTATTTGTTTAAGCAAATATCATTGATGGTTATTCAGTATATATCTTTGATTCTAATATCTTAGTCATAATAATATAATACAAAACATATAAATGGCATCTCTCATCGTGAATCCTGTATGTTCTAGTGTTATATGTATGTGTGTAGATGCATTTTATTGAGTAATTTTTAAGAAATGTTTAGTACTACTGATGTTTAGATTATAAAAAGTTTCTGTTACACTAGATTAAAGGGTATTTTCTTTGCCTTTACCCTTTCATAAGCTTTCTTGTGATTTTTTAATAATATTTTCCTTATTTAAATGCATTGTTAGAAATAATAAAGTTGATTTTACATGTGAACTTACAGGATTAATATTGTTGTTTAAATATGTATTTGAATTAAACATGCAAATTAGGAAATATTCAGTTGCAGAAACTTTAATTGTGCAAATTTTTAGAACCGTTAAACTCTTAGCATTATATAATTGCTTTTTAACTTGTTTGTGATGGAGGTTCATTCTTTGGGTTTTAATAATTGTTTAATGAAAATACATTATAAGATTATAAAGTGTGGTCATCCCATTACTTCAGAACAGTAAGAGTTATTCAACAGTGTTCGCTAATTAAAACAATATAGCCTACCTCTGCTGGCCATATACGTTTAAGTATGTGTTTGGTGGTATTCAAATTCACTGATATCCAACAAATATTAAGGTCTACTGCAAACAGTAGATTCAAAAAATGGTATGCAAAAACTAAATCGGCAAAAGAAATGACTTGTACAAGTCTCTTATTTGCTCAAATATAACAAACGTACTGAGGTCTCATTATTACTGGTTGGCTTCTACATACCTGCAATGGCTTCTTTGGCAGTTAATTAAAGCTAGGTTAAAATATTTAAAATTAAGTTAAAATAAAATTAAACTGAATATAACGAGAAACTGTCTAAATACAAAATTTATTTTACAATGAACTAAAATACTTAATCAGTAATCAAAAGATATAAAATCAATTATAATATGAAATCATAATGCTGGCTCGTATCCAGATAAATTAAAAAATTAAACACGTTATAAGTGAAAATTAAAAGTACATAATATTAATTAAGATGGCACCACATTAAATTACGTTATAATTGAAAAGTACTATACACCAAAATAGAAAATTAACAAAACAAGTTTAAAAAACACTGAATTAATTAAAATACAAATCTAAAGAAAATGCTGGATAAATACAATAACAAAACATTAAATTGGAGGAATTTACATATGTACGATATGAAGTATCAGTTTGTAGGTCTTATGGATGGCATGGACTGCTCAGATTCTAGGTTGCCATTGAATGTGAATTATTATAAAATCAACCATGGCTGTAAGTACTCAGTTATCTGACAATGTTGTCCCCTACACTTTTCAAGAGCTGTGATTTCATATTGAGACAACAGGGGGCTGCTTAGGAAGATTCCACAGCAAGCTGTCTCCCAACATTTACTACAATACTTGAACTGAGTGCTTAGAAAAAAAGTATTGAACTCTTTTTTTTTTTTTTCAGCCTGTTAGTATTTCAAAATTCCTATTGATAATTAACAGTTAAAAAACAACTGTCACTTTTGTACGATCTTGTTTGATGGCCTTGGCTAACATAGTTGTGTTTATCTAGTGCAGGGGTCACCAAACTTTTTCAAAGCAGGCCAGATAACTGAGATAATGACGAGTGCGAGCCGCATAACCATTTTGTTCAATACAATAC